TTCTTGATTTGCCTTGACTTCCCAACACAGAGACTGAACAGTTCAGCTCCCACTGGGGTGGGATCATTTGCCTCACTTAGGTAATTAGGTTTGTTATCTCCTAATACTGTATTTATACAACAGCCAGGCTGCACCATGGCAGAGGCCATAATAAGAATTAGAGTAATACAGCGGAGAACGGAATTGAAGTGCAATGGCCATTCATTGCTGCACAAGACAGATTTCTGTAATGCATGATAGCATTATGTGGGCAACACTACCACTTATGCCTTTACAGAAAAGCTTCTAACTTAACATATTCCTTTCCAAGGTAATGAGATAGCTCTTAAAGAGACCAAGGGACCTTGGAGAATTCTGTGTGTTTGAAAAAGCAGGAAGAGTTTCTTTCCAATGACTTCTTATTAGAAGACAATAGAAGACACATTTTATTATTCATAGATCAAGATTACTAATAAATGCATCTAAGTCATCTTATTTTCTGTTAGGAAATACATTTAGCATCTATTTTATGAGTTTAATTGACAGAAATTATCACTCATTGTTTTCTTGCCTTCTTATGGACACCTTTCCTTTTCTTTCCTTGTTTTTGCTATTAATAGTCTTCAGAAATCTTTTATTGTACCTGACTTTTGACTCTTTTCTCTTAGAGCAAGATCATCCTTCTTTCCTTTGTTCTGTGATAAGGGGATTTTAGATGGCCATCTCTTCTCTGTTCTTGGTGGTACTTACCCTTCAGCACTTCAATAGAGTATGTGACTCATTCCTATCCAGTTTATTCCCACTCCAAGTTGTACAATATGTCTATTTTTTTTAATATGGTAATACGTTGTGTGTCTTACATCTTGTTTAAACAAGGGAGCTAAGGGGAGGAGATGAATTATAAATAACAGAGAGATGGATTTCAAATCTGGACCCTTGTAAAAAAATGGAAACATTTCAAACTTTTTAATTAATACTCTTTTTTTGTTCAAATCAGGACTCTCGATGCTTTTTTTTTTTTTTTTTAGAACTTGAACAGGCACCTAGCAACTCCCTGACTGTAAATGTGGTGAACTAATTTTTAATCCTCAGAGTTGAAAGCTGGCATAAGGAAGACATCTGTGCTTTGTTTCTGATAGGCTTTGTGTTCTGTATTTATAAACAAACTCTCTTCTTCCCTCTCCCCCACCCCAATTCCTCAGTGGCTGTTCCTGCAGCAGCGCCGGTGTGTCAGCCCAAGAGTGCCACTAACGGCCACTACCCAGCCCCACGTCTCTCCATTTCCTCCCGAGCCACAGTGGTAGCCAGAATGGAAGGTGCCTCCCAGGGGGGCCTGCAGACCGTCATGAAGTGGAAAACCGTGGTTGCCATCTTCGTGGTCGTGGTGGTCTACCTCGTCACAGGTGGTCTCGTCTTCCGGGCATTGGAGCAGCCCTTTGAGAGCAGCCAGAAAAATACCATTGCCTTGGAGAAGGCGGAATTCCTGCGGGATCACATCTGTGTGAGCCCCCAGGAGCTGGAGACCTTGATTCAGGTGAGCAGGGAATGAACAACCTGTGGGGACCAAGGTCAGCCTTGATGCTGTCTTTTCTGGATCATTGAGTTTCCCTTTTGGTCAAGATGTTCCTGGTGGTCAAGAGGTCCTCTCTGGGGAAGTGACATTTGAACTGGGATCTTAAGGAAACCAGAGCATGAGACATGTGATGATGTGGGGGTATGGGAGTGGAGGAATGCAATAGCCCTGGCCCAGACATGGGGCGGGTTGTATTCTGTATCACCTGGTTTTGGGTGTGGTCATCAGAGGCTGCAGCAGGTAAAAGGGCTTTGATTTTTCAAATTCAAATCCACTTGTATGTGGTAATAAACTTCCTGGATCTGAACTCTGTATAAAATGCTGAGTTAAGTAGATGCCCTACAAGCCAAAGTAAGAGAATTTTAAATCAGCAAAGTTGCATTAACCTGTCTAAGGTCAATGAGGAAGAGAAAGGCCCCCAGATGTCTGGATAAAGAGGTTGTTGGTGACTTGGGAGACCCACTGAGTGGATGTATGGGGATGAAATAATATAGATTAACAGTTATAACAATCATCGAATTTGCTGTTTTGTGTATCAGACACTTCACTCAAGGTCTGTGTATTAAGAAAAAGAGCCATGAGAAATGGAGGCAGAGAACAACCTAAAGAAGCAAGGCCCCACAGAGCCCAGGGTGGTGTGGGCTTGGCAGGTGGGTTTGGCAGGTGAAGGCTGTGGGAGAGCCAGAAAGCCCCCTATAGTAGTGTGATGGGAAGAAGCAGTCTGGAGGGTAGAGAAGTCTGGGAAGTTCTAGAGAGAACCAGGTACCATGAGGGAGAAAGGAAAATGGTTTGCTTTTGTGGCCCAGACACTCTCCTGAGGAGAGTGGTGACATTTATGGAGGCAAGGGAGAGTCTCATCTTTCTGGGAGTTCAAAAGTTAGAGAGACAGAAAAGAGCTTCCATAGGCCCTTCTGGTTCTGGGATCATTACATCAAACTCATATGGCTACTATAGCCCAGGGCTGTGTAGGATTTGTAAGTCTGGATTGCTTTATTATTTATTTATTTCAAACAACAGTGACAGGGTAGAGAATTGTGATGTTACTTGCAGTCTGGCACCTTCATATTAAGCAGATTCTTTTAATTTTTTAAAAAAGTTTATCTCTTTATTTCTTCTATGAGAGAGAGAGAGAGAGAGAAAGAGAGAGAGAGAGAACCTCTAACAGGGCCCTGACACTTCAAAATATCCCTAGCCTCAGCAACTCCAGGCCATAGGTGCACACGTGACCGGGGAAATGAACCTGGACCCCTCCCATGTGAGTCAGCCTCACAGAGTGCCGGGTTCTACTGCTGGGACACTTTCTGGTCCCCTTAAAGTAGTTCGAATAATCTGACTTGCTTTTCAAATAAATAGAAATACAAATTCCACCCCCTTGAAAAAATGTGATTATATAACTATGCTCTATAATTTTTTATTAAGAATAAACTTTTAAATGTTAGAACCCAAGGACATTTTGCATCCACAGATAGCCTATGCATTGCTTTGCAACCGATTATTGCCAAAGAGAGAAATGCTTTTGTAGGGAGATATCAAAATAAATCGAGAACATCGGTGATGTCACAAGCTCTCTGAGCTTATTTGTGTATTTGTTGATTAATTCAGTATTTCTGTATTACCCATTCTTTAACCTTCTCCCCTATGAAACAGCTCAGAGGCTAAAATAAAGAACAGGATGGGGGGACCATCAGATGGCGTAATGGTTATGCTGTTGGCCGTGGTTTAAGTCCTGGACTTAGCAGCTTAAACTCATGCCTGGCACTTGTGTATGTGTGTTTAAAATCCTGAGAAAAGAATGGAGGACGAAGGACTGTGGTGTGGTCACCCCCCCTACATGGGTTTGTGTGTGTGTGTGGGGGTGATGTCTTTCTGTCTTTCTATCTCTCCCTGTCTCTTTGGACAGTGCATGCACCCTATGGCAAAAATATCTCTAAAAAAATAGAACAGGATGGGGAAGTATGGATGCCCTGATTCTGGTGTTGCCATCCATACCTGTGTGTGCACTTAAGATAATTTTATAATAATTAAAAAACTACCCTTTATTAGGCACTTGTTATGAGCTGGATGCTTTACATCCATGATCACATTTAATCTTTCCAAGTCTAAGCTGATATTCCCATTTTACAGGTGAAGAAACATATGGCAACAGAAGTTGAGTGACTTTCCAATTACCAAGTGGAAGAGCTGAGAGTCAGAGTGAGGGCTGTCTGACTCTTCATGGCCTCGCCCAGTCAGTCTACATGCTCTTTGATAAATTTTTCTGCCTCGCCCCGTCAGTCTACAAGCTCTTTGATAAGTTTTTCTTTGTAACTAGTTCACCTCTCCCATAAACCTTTACTTTATGTTCAACACTCTCTAGAATTTTAGCAGTCAAAATAGTTGAGTTCCTTGTTCCCTAATATGAAGCATTTCTCTATTTCTTCTCCCTATATCCAGTGATTTTCAGTTCTGGATCTGGAATACTTTCAGATCTTCATCTACTATGGTTTAAAGATTGATACTTATGTTTATCTAGAGTCTTTCTTACCATGTAGGTTAAGTAGGTTTACTTGCTGAGTCTGCCTCAATCAAGAATCAGACCTTTATGTATGTCATTGATGCCTTCATAAGGATGAAGAGATCCACACTGATAGACCAGTGGTGCTTTCTCATCCTTTATGCCTCTGAGAAGCATTGTGTATAGTGCTCAGAAAAAAACATAGTATTTAAAAATAGTTTGTCTCCACATTTGGAAGGTGCTTCAATGGACTGCATTTCAAACTGAAAAATAGTATTATTGTGTCTCACCAAAGTCTGAAAGAAGTGACCAGTGGGTAGAGAATTAGATCAATGGTGTTTATTTCATCATGCCTCTTGCCTGGATTAAGGTGGAAGATGTGATTCATCAAACAGAGTACCCAGAGCAGCATAACCCTCATGGAATGCCTGTATAGCTTAGAAAAGTTATAGCTAAGTAGGGATTTTCAGACAAATTCAGCCAGTTTATGGGGAATGGGTATAGACCAGAGGAAACCCATGCTTCATTGTCCTTGAAAGGTGAAGAAAGAAAGATTGCTGTTATGGAGAAGATTGTCTCACTCGTTCATCTACCCATCCTTTGATCATCCTCTAGTCATTCTTTGAATTGCTATTGAATTCTTGTTGGAGCAGGTACCATGCTAGGTGTTGGGGATAGAAAAGATGAGAGTAAAACATACCTTGAGCAAGTTACTTACTAACTTTTTTGTGCCTTTGGGATGTTGAGAGGATAAAATGCACTGGTTCATGAGAAGGGCTTTGACTTGTGCTTAGCAAGAGGTGAGTACTTAGAAAGAGGTAGCTATTGCTGCCAGTGCTGGTATTACTGAAGGAGCTCAGAGTTTCAAGCAGTTCTCCTTTTCATTCTCTTTCTCTCTCTTTTTAATTTGCCAGATGGTGTGTGTGCTCACCTGAGAGAGACAGAGAAGCAGAGAGAGAGAGAAAGAGAGAGAGCAATGATGAAAATTTCCTGTTATATGCTCAAGAATCTAGGATTTACTGCCAGGCATTTAGCCACATATCCTGGGCTTAGAACCACTATGCCCTGAAACAGAAATGTAAACTATGTGAGGGGGCCTAGTAGGATGAAGGACATTTGGTGACCTGTCTATGACCTGTTGAAGGAGCTGTACATGGCTTGAGGTAGGTGGTATAGAAAGAGGTGCTAGGAAACGAGACTTGAAAGTGGGGTCAGGGCTGGTTTGGGAAGTGCCTGGAGTGCATTGCTGAGGATTTGGGGCTTTATATTGTGGGAGTGGGCAGACACTGAAATATTGAAGCAAGGTAGTGACATGATGACAATTTCCTGTTAAAATAAGTGAGAAAGTTGAGTTAGAGGAAAGAAAATTTGGAGGAAGGAAGGCCAGTTAGAACGCTATTACACCACCATAGTTGAGAGATGCTAGGAGGCAGAGCAAGGGCTACATTTAAGAGTTGACAAAGAGAACTTGAGAACTGCTCGTTTCTCATTCAGCACACTTTCTGGAGCGTCTGCAGGTTCTCTGCATCTCTGCATGTCATAGCTGTGACTTTGTAGGCCATGCAAAGCCTGGTGAGGAACACCCAGACTCAGAGTAACCTTCCTGTGTTAACCTTCGTGTAATGGGCTGTGTGTTTTGAGCAAGTATCATAGTCACCCATGGCCTCAGCTTCCCTTCTGTAAAATGGGGAGTGGAATAATAGTGTCTACCTGTGAGGGTGGTCTGAGATTAAATAAAAATCTTAGAAATTTTTAGTTGATACTATTCTAGTAGCTATTTGCTAGGAAAGGATGAAAAAATAGACCATTTTGAAAGAATTCTGCTAAGGGAAAAAAGAGGCTCCCAAAATGCCCTTTGGGGTTTCAAATCCTAAATTTTCTTTTTAAAAGCTTCTTTCTTACTCTTTTTTAAAAATTAAATTGCTAGAGAGCATATGTTCTTGCACCCCCTTCCCACACACACACAGAGCACCCCATAATGAGATGTGGTCACTCCATAGTGCCTTCTCCTCCATTTCTCTATCCCATGAGGATTTTGAGCATGCCTGACATGTTTCTTTTCTTTTCTTTTTTTTTTTTTTTTTTGAGAGAGGTTTTTGCTATAGGGTACGTGCGCTCACCAGAAAGACAGAGAGAGACAGAGAGATAGAAAGTGAGAAATAACCCCCCAGGGGGAATGGCCATGGCACAGTCCCTTCTCCTCCATCCTCCTCTTGGGATCTTGGGCACGCACACACACACACCCGGCATGAGTTTAAGTCACTGGGTCCAGGACTCATACCACGGTCGACTATAGGGGAGTTCAGCAACATAGCCATTACGCTAACTGCTGGTCCCAACCTGGCATGTTTCTTACATCACCAGGGCAGGGATTCAAACCACTGTCAGCCACGTGAGCTCTGGTTCCTAATGCACAACACATTACTATACTTCAGGGTGGGCCATGCTTATCTTATTTTATCCATGA